CATAGCGAAGGCGGCCGCTCGCGCGCGACGGCGGATGCCGGCCACCTCCCCTAACCCTTAACCTCGCCAGTCCCCACTTCGCCGGCCACCGTCCCCAGCACGAGCTCGGCGGTGCACGCCCGCCTCCTCTCCGCTTCTCTGCGGACGTCGCTCGCCGTCTCTGTTGCCTGCCGATCTCACTTCACCATCGACAACAGGCCCGCGGTTAGTGCGCTCTGTTTATACATTTTCTGCTAGATTTAATCTATCTACATGCTTCGTTCTCTGATGTGCCATGCCGTTTCTGTTAACTGAGTTCGAATTCCATGTTTTTTTTGCCTCGTTCTTTGTACCACTAATGCCTATTCAAGTCAGCAACGCATGTAGAAGCACACATCAACCACAATTTAATGAGTTCATAAGTAGATCCATATTGCCAGGAGTACCTTGAGGAACAGGTATGATAAAAAAAAGAGTAAAGTGCACTGTAGGTCCTTAAACTATTTCAGACATGTCACATAGGTCCTCGAACTATGAAAATCATCATTTAGGTCCTCGAAGTACAGTAAGTGTATCATCCAGGTCCAAAATCTCACTAACCCCCCTCTAAATAGCCAGCTGGCATGGTGAACAGTGCGAAAAATAAAAAAATTATGAAAAAAAAAAAATGAAAATCTTTGGCATCAAAAATACCCCTGTTGCGTGAATAGTAAAAATGTTCATTAATTCATAAAAATGTTTGCGAATATGGGAAAAATATTTGCGACTTTAAAAATGTTCACAAACAATAAATTTGAAAATATGTTCACGAACCACAAATATTGTTCGTGGGTACGGAAAAAAATGTCCGCGAACCACAAAAAATCATGACTTTAAAAAATGTTACTGAACTTTTTATTAAAGTCGCAAATATTTTTTCCGAATTCATCGTTCACGAACATTTTATTAAAGTCATGAATATTTTTTCCAAATTCATCGTTCGCGAACATTTTTTAAAGTAACAAATATTTTTTCCAAATTCATCGTTCGCGAGCTTTTTTTAAACTCGCGAATATTTTTCCCAAATTCATCGTTCGCGAACATTTTTGTAAAGTCGTGAATAGTTTTTCCAAATTCATCGTTCACGAACTTTTTTTAAACTCGCGAATATTTTTTTAAAGTCGCGAATATTTTTTTCCAAATTCATCGTTCGTGAACATTTTATTAAAGTCACAAATATTTTTCCAAATTCATCGTTCGCGAACCTTTTTTTGAATTAATGACCATTTTTACTATTCACGTGCCAGGGTCTCTTCGATGACAGAGGATCTCAGTTTTTTGATATTTTTTATATTTTTTCTTTGTCATGTACTATTCATCACGCACAGGAATTCAGGACTGTTTGCCATGCACTGTTACAGTTACTGTTTACGTGCCAGCTGGCCAGTTAGAGCCTGTCAGGGAGATTTTGGACCTGAATGACACACTTACTGCACTTTGAGGACCTGGATGACGATTTTTATAGTTCGAGGACCTACGTGACATCCCTGGAATAGTTCAAGGACCTACAGTGCACTTCACTCTAAAAAAAAAGTAAGAAATATCCATACCTTGAGTCCATATTCTCCATCCCATAGATTGAACCTGTGTCTATACTGAACTTGTTTGCCATTGATTGAACTTTTGTGCATTTTGCACAGTAAGTTCCATATCAAAGGTTCCGCAAGATCTCACTCACAAGTCACAAATCACTGCTGAGGGATCATCCTTGTTTATCCAAGGAAATAAGATGTTATTACTGTTCTTTTTAATATTAGTTTCCTGTTTTCTCTGTCTTGCAATCAGAGTCGGGCTTATACAGCAGAAATGTTTTGGACTTGAGTCGTTGAATGGTCTTTGTGAACACAGATCAATATACGCTGTAGGATAGATGACACAGTTTGTTTTAACCCGAGATGCATGCCTAAGGTTATTGCAAGTGGTAGCTACTGTGAGAATACTGCTATTTCCTGACTAGAGTTAAATTTGTGCATTGCTGTTATACGCTTGGTAGGAAGAAATGATATCTAATATGTTGTGCTAGGTTTTTATTTGTATTCCAGCATATAAGGTTTGCATGTAGATATGATGTTAATTTCTCTCCTTTCATCCCCTTATGGCATTTGCCTTTCATCCCTCTGCTGAACATTTATACATCACCGCCTAAGCAAACAGTCATCTTTCCAACACATGCCGTTATATCTTTCATCTTCCGAGAGCACTTGACAATGGTTCATATAGCATTGTCTTTACCAAATCCACGGTTTCCTGAACATGAGAACTTTCTTAAACACCATGCCTATCAAAGTATTCCAATCTAAAAGGTCCACACAAAGTTTTATGGAACTGGAGGTCGAACTCAACATATAAATGCAAGTTATAATCATGTTCTTTTACCAGTCGCATCGATATACTTGATGCATTATATGATGTCTAATGCTTTCATACAACAATATATTGTTTAAGTGGAAACCATGATACTTCGTCCACTCGTTAAAGAACTCTATCCAGCTTTGACCAAAGATACCATCACGAGTTTCTGGATTACATGTATGAAAAGGAAATGACATCCGTATATTTGAGATATAAATACTTGAAATCGTACCTTCATTTTTTTTCCTACTACTTATGGTAGAAGTATTGCAGAAAATTTAGCGATTGAAGCTGCATATTCTTGACTTTGAATTGTAATAAGCACTATTATTTTATTTTCTACCGATTGTGTACCAGAGATTTGGGACTAAAATCATAAGCGAAAGGACTGAATTGAATGTTGAAAGTTGTTACGAGAATCCCAAATCTCCACTCTGCTAAATCTGCAAATCCGTGATCCGCTGGGGTTTCCAGGTCGAGTGAAAAACGTTCGGCAGCCAAACTCTGGCTCCGATCAGTAGGCCGGGCTGACAAGTGACAACCCATTTAGCACTGATGCCAGCCCGTTCGCATGGAGAAGCTGGCCAAGGTCAGCGTAGTCGATTCGGGATGAGCTTGGGAACAGAGGAGAGGCCGGCCAGCACCGATGGCGAGGACCACCCTGTCATTGTGATGCTCGGCTGGGGAAACGGAGGTGTCCGGGAGGTTTAGGGCGAAGCGCTGGATCGATTTTGTGGGTTTACAGGAAGGCACACGTGGTAGGTGGGGGTTGGTGACAACGGGTGGATCCGAGGGTCACCTGCCGGAGCGGGAGGACGGTAGTGGTGCTGGGCTGTTCTGGCGTGAGTGTCGCTCTTCCTTGCACGCGTTGGCGAACTAGGGGCGGTTCAGCCGTGGGTGAGAACTTGGCTTCGGGGCACGTCAGGAACAGGATGGCTGGAGGTCGGAAGAGAAGCTCGTGGCGGCGAGCTCGGAGCTTAGGCGGCGGGTTCGATCATCCGCCCATTCTCTCACGTCGGCAGCTGTTCTTCTTCGTTTCCCAGAAGACGAAGGGCACCGGCAAGGAAACCGACAAGAGTTGTACGGGCATATTTTGTGCTGCTTTGAGAAAGAAAGGAGAGAACAGGCGCCGAACCGGTACGCTGTTACTTGGCAGTGGCAGCACTTCGTAATCTTTTCAACTCCACTGAAAACGATTCCCTGGATCCAGGAAAATGTCGCTCCGCATTTTTACTATGGCACTGTTGAAACAGTTCCTGGATCCGGGAAAACATTTGGTCGGGCTCCACCGAGTAGGCTGAGCACGGAGCTGGAGAACTTCCGAACAGGCCCTTATGGTTTATAATACAAGTATTATGCCATTGTTTCTATTTGTTCTACTTCTACATGTTCATTCAGTTTGTTCTTACATGCAGAAAGGAACTCCTGATGAGCTTCACTGAAAAATCTTTATAAACCCTTTCTTGGTCATATACTGAAGAAAAGTCTTTATAAATCGTTTCTTGATCATATAATGAAGAAAAATCTTGATAAACGGTTTCTTGGTCATTTAATGAAATTTGAGTTCTTACCTAAGGGTGATTGCACATGAAATGCCTAATGTCCATTATCAAGCATTGCCATAGCATATTTAGATGGTCTCCTATCTGGATGACTTCAATTTTATGAACCATGTCAGTATCTGCAAAGCCTTACACAACCAATACAAACTATAGCTCCACCAGATCCAAATGCTCCTCTTTGGAACATGCTCGAGAATATTGCATTAACACCTGAAGATAGGATGGCAGTAGGGATGCACCTTTGCAAGCCAGAGTTTCAAGTTCATTGTAGCTTCCTTATAAGCATGGGTGAGGATTACATCTCATGTTGGGTGTTGAATCATTTATCCGGTGATTATCCTGCTGATGGCCGTACTGATGATCCTATTGATGACCATACCGATGATCCTACTCATGGTCGTACTGATGATCCTGCTAATCTTTAAGTTATTGTTGATTACAAAAGATAAGTACACGAGTTTCCTTTTGGTGGACTTCTGGTTATGTGATTGATGCACTATTGTGTTCAAACAATCTAGTACTGATCTGGTAGGAAATGTGACTTTTGGACATGTTAGTGGTTAACAATCTAAGTACTGATCTGTTCAATATCTTCAAGGTATGATGTAAACTGAGACCTGAAATGTAATGATAATTGGATATGGTTATGTTTGGTCTTCTCTGATTATTAATTCACTCCTGTAATACGTGACCAACAAGTGGTGAGTGTAACCCAGGGAAAAAATGAACCAAACACTGCGTGGAGCTTCTATCCACACAGGCATATCTTCAGGACATCACCAAACACGGCCTAGGATTCTTTGTGTGCCTGCCTGGGCAATTTGTTAAGCACACTCAGGTTACTCTCATGCAGGGAATATTCTCAGGCATGTTGCTCAGTGTAGGAATCAAACAGACCCTGTTTCTTTCCTTGAATGGCATTTCTCTGTTTTTTTCATGTTTTGGTGATGATTTCTTATCGTGGTTTCATATTAGTCATTTCTCAGCTGTTCTGTCTTATCTTGTATAACCTTGGTCATTTTTTGTACTTGTACTCACTGTATGTGTTTCCAATGCTGATACTGCAGCATGGCGGCCAGACGCAACATTCCTTATTCTGTTCTTCCTACGGAGGACAGGGATGAGGACAATATTGACCGTCGGTTCACATACACCCCAAAATCCTTGAGGAGGATCCCATTGAAGTCGATTGCCCTAGCATTATTCCTCCTCTTCCTGGGAAGCTCTCTTCTGTTCCTTCCGTATTTTATATTCACAGGTCACATGGAGGGTGATAGCACTCAGGTGTATGGTCTATTGTTCCTGGGTATCCTTGCCTTTCTTCCTGGTATGTCAATTATACAATTATATCACTTCAATTTCCGTATTGTGGTTGATATGCCACAGTTTCATCTTCCAGAGTGAATATTATCTTATTCAAATTATTCGATAAATATTCCTATAAAAAGAATGGCCACTCTCATATGCTTCCTGTAAAAACTTCCTACGTAAACAATGGCCACTTGCACCACTGGAGTAATTAAGCATGGTGCAGTTTTTTTCTCTTCTCATTACATATGTACATACTTCCTACAAAAATAGGACCCCACTAGCTGGCGACCGTTCGCCAGCTAGGGGTGGCATTTGCGAATTGCCGGGGTGGCAGTTTTAGTGTTTTTTGGGATGGCATTTGTTTAATTTTAGTGCAGTTTTCACCCAAAAACTGCCACCATCAGATCTTGATCGAGTGGCGTGTGAGGCGGTTCGTTGGGGGTGTTCCTGGCAACCATTCGCCAGGTAACATTACCATAAAAATAATGTGTCCACTTGCATTACTGGAGTATGCAAGGCAATGTTTACTGTTGATATATAACCATAACTGGTATAGGCTCTTCCATTTTAGACGAAACAGGCCCGTTTTTGCATCTCAATTATTATGCTGAAAACAGAACTTTTCCCGTTCTTCTGCATCTCTACTGTTACGCTTGAAACAAATTATCTCGCTCTTTAGGACTGTTCTACTTTCCAAACAAGCATATAACTCTTACATGTACATATTTACATTGCTTATGCAGAATTTTATGAGACCCGAGTTGCATACTATTCATGGAGAGGAGCACCAGGGTACACCTTTGCGTCCATTCCAGATTATTAGCCTTTGATTTTAACTCATCGACTGGGCAGTAAAGATATTGAACAGCAAGAACAAAAATATGAAACTTGGTCTCAAATGGAATGAGCACGTGTTGTTATGTTAGTACTACAAATAGTTGACATGTAGGCGAAGCCACCTTCTGTTGACTCTATTGCTCTCTTGTGCTTTGCTTGCTTGTTCATTGCTACGTAGATTGGTGTTTTGGAGTTACTTAGATATGATTTTAGTATGTTATAATCTAGAAATATATTCTTAGGGCTTTGTTCTGTTTTGCTTGCTGAAGATACTAGTATGTATATTACCCCATACTTTATCCGTGGTTTCTGTCAATTGCATTGTCGTTTTTGTACTTTCTTTCAATTGCTGACATTGCAAAGGGACGCTGTGGGTTGGCTTCAGTTTAACTGGCGGCGTCACGATGTAATCTTCGGACAATCTAACGTGTCCCAGCTACTCCTTCAGTGCTACGACTCTTGTCAAGGAAAAGTTGTGAAGGAAAAATTCCCCGCAGAGAGAGGATGTGCATGCAGTGATATGGCCACACCCCAAGGAAGAGCAATGAGAATTTGAGCAGCTGGCTGGCCGCACGTTCCATCTCGTCAAGTTGTACACTGTTGCACCGTCTGCTAACCACCGGACCATCAGCTTCGACAGGGACACGCACACATGGTTAAACTAAATTATCAGTACTGATGCGATCACTTTCAAGTACCTACTTACTACATTCCTCGAAACAAACAAACAACAAAAAATCAACTCTAAAGGTTTCTTTCTCAAGCTGCTGCATTGACGATTGGCCACATGGTGAACCGGGAATCAAACCAGCAATTGACGATCTGCTGATAATGTGGCTCGCTCTCTGCCGTGGTCGTCGCTGATGGCTCAGCATGGCGAGAATGGTCGAGAAGATGGACTTCTCCAGGAAAAACGATCTGCAAATTGCAACCGTGTCAACACCTCCTTGGAAAAAACACCATAGCATCCAAGAAAAATGACGCCTCTTTCGCCGAAAAGAAAAGAAAATGATGCCTGGAAGACAAGTGCATAATCAGCTCCAGCCACGGGCTAGTGTTCACCGTGGAGTACGTATTGTATGTTTAGCCTTATTGCTCTATTCTATCCCCACATGGGTGATTTTGTGCAACATGGATCGTCCAATGTCACTATCATCAAATCACACACACAAAAAAAGAATGGTCCCGGATCTGATCTTCCTGACCTTCGATAATAAGTGCGCCAAGCGCTGCTGTCCTTGATCGACAGATCGCTTCACGGTTCAGTTTTTTAAATTCATGACGCCGGCGGAATAGCCGCCACCATCCACCCACCAAAAAGAAAAAAAGAAGTAAAGGACACCGTGCGTGGTACGTCGTCGCAGGCAGAATCCAATCCACCATCAAACAAAAAGAAACGCTGCCCGATAAGCCACCCTGCAACGATAACTACTCGCCCGACACCACTCGGCGGCAGGCACAGGCAGCCACTCTCACTCACAGGCCGGGTGGTTGACTACTACCCACTGAGCAGAGCAGCCTTCGGGGCGCGATCCAGGAAGCCAGGAACGGCAAAGCAGCCCCCGCGGCGGCGGCTCGATCGCGACGACAAGAAATGGCCACCGCCCTCCGCCCTCCCCGGCTCCCAGGTGCGTCCGCCCGTGCATGAACCCCTGATCTCGCCCGAAAGTCAAAACGATTTCGATCCGTAGGTTTGATTCGGTTTATGCGGGCTTGGATTCCAAGGATTTTCTCTCTCACCATGTTATTAGATTCTAGTTGTGCTGTTATTCACTTACGTATTATTCTTGTCCAGTCCCAACCCCCAGCCAATACAACAGCTCCTCAATCCTCAAAGTTTTCCTTTTCCCTTTGGAGTTTCAGATAATACTAGATGTCTAGCCATGCAGTTTCAGATAATAGATGAACTGAGAGAGAGAGAGCATGGGTGATGACAGTAAAAAGAAAAAGGAAAATCTATTTTCTGCAATGTGTGCAAGGTGGTTATTGCCGGCCGGCGATCTTTGTTCAGTAAAAGAACGTGAGGCCATTCCCAACACGGGTCGATATCAAGAAGGGCTATCTCTATCTATCTGTGGAGCTGGATATACAGATCACAAAATCAATTTTGGTTAGGGGTCAAGTCAGCATCGCGTTGGTCCAAGTTGGATGAATACAGAGCAGAACAGTGTAGATGGGGGAAGCACGCTTGTGTCGTTGGCACCTACCAATAATCATTTCATTCCATGAGACTATCAATAGTTTCTAGATCAACAACATTTTCAATGCTTATTATTCAGCCTGAAATCATTAGGCACATCTAATCTGTGTTAATTAGTAATTATATACTATCTAATTGTTTCAGTTAGATTTTTCACCGTTGTGGTTTCTGAATTCTGGCGTTGCGAACACCACCTGCATTGCAGCAGTCCCGGAGCAGGCTTCCTCGCTTCATCGCCTACCAAAGCACAGAGTCGCTGTCACCGGGCGTAGGAGCTTCGCCGCCAGGGCCGGCTCGTATCCAGGCAACGTGGGCGTCCCGAAGCAATGGTACAACCTCATCGCCGACCTGCCGGTGAAGCCGCCGCCGATGCTGCACCCGGGGACGCACCAGCCGCTCAACCCCAGCGACCTGGCCCCTCTCTTCCCCGACGAGCTGATCCGGCAGGAGCTCACGGAGGAGCGCTTCATTGACATACCCGACGAGGTCCGGGATGTCTACGAGCTCTGGCGCCCCACGCCGCTGATCAGGTAAAGAAAGATGCTGTTGCTGTCGTGATTCAAGGGAGCGTGGAGTAAACAAGGTGTTGATATGGCAGGGCCAAGAGGCTGGAGAAGCTGCTCAGCACGCCGGCGAAGATCTACTACAAGTACGAAGGCACTAGCCCGGCGGGGTCGCACAAGGGCAACACCGCCGTGCCGCAGGCGTGGTACAACGCCGCGGCGGGGGTCAAGAACGTGGTCACCGAGACCGGCGCCGGCCAGTGGGGCAGCGCGCTCTCCTTCGCCAGCACCCTCTTCGGCCTCAACTGCGAGGTGTGGCAGGTGCGCGCGTCCTACGACCAGAAGCCGTACCGGAGGCTGATGATGGAGACGTGGGGCGCCAAGGTGCACCCGTCGCCGTCCGACGTGACGGAGGCCGGCAGGAGGCTCCTGGCGGCGGACCCGAGCAGCCCGGGGAGCCTCGGGATGGCCATCTCCGAGGCGGTGGAGGTCGCGGCCACCAACGCCGACACCAAGTACTGCCTCGGCAGCGTGCTCAACCACGTCCTGCTGCACCAGACCGTCATCGGCGAGGAGTGCCTGGAGCAGCTGGCGGCCATCGGCGACACCCCGGACGTCGTCATCGGCTGCACCGGCGGCGGCTCCAACTTCGGCGGGCTCGCCTTCCCCTTCATGCGCGAGAAGCTGGCCGGCAGGATGAACCCGCAGTTCAGGGCCGTGGAGCCCGCCGCGTGCCCCACGCTCACCAAGGGCGTCTACGCCTACGACTACGGCGACACGGCCGGGCTGACGCCGCTGATGAAGATGCACACCCTCGGCCACGACTTCGTCCCTGATCCCATCCATGCAGGTGTTCATCACTGCAACTCCTTATCTGTCTCCATTAATTGGCTTCCTGCTCTGTTTACTGACGCAAAGCCATTTGTGCAGGTGGGCTTCGCTACCATGGAATGGCGCCTCTTATCTCCCATGTGTATGAGCTCGGGTTCATGGAGGCCATGTCCATACAGCAAACTGAGTGCTTCGAAGGTACATGTCCATACATTTTGCAGTCGATTTCTCGTCTCTTGACCGTGTATTTGAACTCACTCAGACATTCCTTGCCTTCGTTGATGAATTATCTGCAGCTGCATTACAATTTGCACGGACGGAGGGCATCATCCCGGCGCCGGAGCCGACGCACGCGATCGCGGCGGCGATCAGGGAAGCGCTGGAGTGCAAGAGGACCGGGGAGGAGAAGGTCATCCTCATCGCCATGTGCGGCCACGGCCACTTCGACCTCGCCGCCTACGACCGGTACCTGAGAGGCGACATGATTGATCTCTCACACTCCTCTGAGAAGCTCAAGGAGTCTCTGGGTGCCATTCCCAAAGTTTGATGTTAGAGGTTCAGAGATTGATAGAAGAACAGTGTGGGAAGTTGGGATACAATAAGATGAACAATGTGACGCTTTCTTGGTGCATGGCACAAATAAATTTGATCAATAACAGATGTTACCTTTTGGCTTCTGCTCCCTCAATTCTTGATACATTCCATCCTAGTTTTAAAATTTTGTTTGAATTTTTTTTTCTAACTTTTCACCATTGCCCCCACAATATAACTCCCCATTTGGCTATTACATTGTCTGACTGTCATTTCTTAGGGCTCATTGGGTACAACAGTTTTTTCTAAAAAAAATCATAGGATGAGAATACTATAACATTTTTTTCTTTAAGAAATTAACCTATAAATTCCTGTAGGAAACATCAATTTCCTCTAAATTTTGTAGGAGTCGAAACCTAAGATCAAACCACATATTAAATTAACTTTGAGATGTCTGAGGCAAGATATTTATGTAAATTTCTTAGAACAACTACACGACAACTTTGTAAAATCCCCGTGTTTCTTTAGAAATACAATACAAATAATACAAATACAAACACTCACAAACAAGTACATATACTCACCCTATAAACGCACACGCACACACACCTTTTCCCGGTGAGCACCGAGTCGATGGGTTTTGATATCGATGAAGTCACCACAGATGCCTCACTACCAACGGGAACATTACCTTCATTAAAAGAATATTTTGCTTTTAGGAGGCACCATAGCGTCTAACCTGAGATTGGTCCCTGGTGCTGGGTACCACTACCCTCTTACCCATCCTATAGCTATCAATAAGCTGGTCACTTCCTCTAGCTTTCTATTCCTTTGTTCGTCGGATGGTAATATCGTAGTAATAGGAAAATCATAAGAAATGAGGTTTTATGTATCTTAATTTCTATAGAGAAAAAGATGTCATTTGACACACATGATAGAATTTTGTCGTTGAGTCTAGGCTAATGTTTTTTTCCTTTGAAATGCGAAGGATTGATTCCTATCCTACATAGGAATAGGAATCCATCCCTACAAACCAAAGGATCCAAAGAAAATTTTAATTTTTCTTTAAAAATCCTATCCTATAAAATTGGTGCAAAAATTTCTACAACCAAGGAGGCAGGCCTAATAGGGCAATTGGGCTGGCATGGGGAAATATCTAGTGGTACTAGTGCACCCGAGTTAAATTGTCATATTTATAGTTGTTGATTTAAAAAAAATCATATAGTAGTAGTAGTAGTAGTAGTAGTAGTAGTATAAGAATTCATCAAAAATCCACATTCGAACATAGTATTAGAAAAAGGACGCCGCCAACTGCCACACGTGTGGATGTTAAGAAATCTGCCCACACGTTATGTGTGGTGGCTAAGAGGAACAACCCACACGTCTGTGTGTGGGCAAAACAACTAGCGCCCACACGCCTCTTTTTTTCCCCTCCCGGTCCCTTTTACACGCGTGCATGTGGGCGAAATAGATAACGCCCACACGCCTGGTACGTCAGGCCTCGTACCTCGTGGTCTCGCACGCCCCACGTGACACTTTACCGCGCGCCCCGCAGTTGCCATTGGCCGGACCCTCATCCATGTTCGTTTAAGTGCAGTTGCCATGTCGCTGAACTACGGTTGCCATGTCGGACAACTACAGTTGCCATGTTTGCTCAACTGCAGTTACCATCTCAGGTCAAAGTTCCAGATTGCCATTTTTTGGACAACTACAGCTGTTGCCATGCGTGGTCTGATCTACTGCAGTTGTCATGATTTCAAAACTTTAGGAGTTGCCACCTACTAACACTAGGCAGTTGCCATGTAGCGCTACAAAAAAAGGCATGGCAAAAAACATGTTTGGGTAAAAGAGAGAGTTGCAATGTGCTCACAAGCACGCTAGGGCAGTTGCCATTTAAAAAGAAAGAGTTGCCATCTGCTTATGTGCACGCTAGGGCAGTTTGCCATGTACCATGCCAAACATATGGCAACTGACATGTTTGGATAAAAAAAGAGAGAGTTGCCATCTGCTTGCAATCACACTAGGGCAGTTGCCATGTACACTGCAAAACGCATGGCAACTGACAATTTGGGTGTGGGAGAGGAGGCAGGCGTGTAGGTGAGATGGCAAACGCCCACACACCAGCCCTTGTGCGTGACTGAAAACTGGTGTGTGGGCGAACTGCTAAACGCCCACACACCGGCCCCTCCGTGTGGTAAAATGGATGTGTGGGCGACCTCTCTTACACACCACACACGCGAGTCGTCCTATGTAGCATACAAAATCAACTAATTCGTGCAGAAATTATTGGACGGTGATGGAGGCGTGTGGGTGAGTTGGCTAACGCCCACACGTGTGGGCGTTAACATTTTCGTAGAAAAAATAATTACAAATTTCATTTACGATAAAGAAAATGGACCGGATCGATGACCCAATTTGTATTATCTATAATTCGCATCGTGATTTGTCTTTTTTCAGGTATTTATTTTAAATTCTGAATCTGATTTTAAATTTTATACAAGCGGCGCTTTTTAAAATTAATATTTTGAGCGCTTTTTGAAAATTATGTCGTTTTTTAAGGAGAAAAATAAACCAATTACCTAGGACGCCCCAGGAAGAGAACTCTCTCATCCCAGCCCAACAACCCCAGGGACATGTTAAAAAAGGGACAGGCCTCTTCTAGAAAAAAAAAGGACAGGCCAAGCGGAGAATCGAGGGTTTCGGCTTCCTTGTCATCTCGCCGTCTCCGACGCCGGCGACCCGGGAGCGAGACCTCCAACCCCCGCCCTCTCGCCGGCGGCGTATTTCCCCGTTCCGTAGACCAGGTGAGGGCACAGAACTTCGCTCTTCTATGGTCTTGTTCGGACGGAGTGACGCTGACGTCGTTGTGGGCCGGTGAGTAGGTATGAAGAGGGCCGCGCCGTCGGAGGAGCCGGTGGAGCTCTCTTCGGGCGACGACCTGAGCTCGGATTCCGACGATGAGGCCGGGAACGGGAAAGGCGAGAACTCCTTCCGGCTGCCCATGTCCTCCAAATCTACAGCTCCAGCAAAAGGTGAGAGCTATTTCGGTCGCTTTTTGTTACAAAAATAATCGATTTGCGCGCTCATTAGAGTTGATATAACGTCTCCGACTCCTTGTTTATGCTAAATTTTGGTGTGATTTTAGCTTGTATCTGTCCAATGGCTCTAAGATGAATTAAACGACTCTAAAATTTATAGCTTTTATTTGCTTGTATTGGTGCGCACAAGGCACAATTTAGTCTATGCACAGCGTTTGTTCTTAGGGGTTCGCTATTTTGCCTTCTTGGAGAAGCAACAATGTTGGGGTTAATAATTCACCAAAAAGTCCAAGAGAATTGATTTCCTGCCTAGGATTAGATATTGGGGTAATAATTCTGCACACACCTAACAAACTGGCTTAGATGTTAAATTGTTATGACTATCTTTCTTAAGTAGTTGTGTATTGAACCCCCACTTTAGCAACATATTGTATAGGTCCATATTTGAACATGTTATATATTTATTTCATGTGATTGAGTGAAATTTTAATACTGTGCCATATATAAATGTTTTTTGTTGTCATGTAATCATGAGCTATCGCAAGTGTTGTGGAGTTATTGCCTGTTTATCATGTATATTTATCTTATTAGTATTTTGTATACTTGAGATTTGGTATCCAGATACCGCTTATCTTGTTTGTTACCATTACTAACAGAGGAATAGCTTAGGTTGTGTCGGAAATAATAGTTTTTGTTACACACTAGGGCATACGCTAACTGATTCTGATCAGCCTGGACTGGTAACCACTGTAGCATGTTTTACTGGGTGAGGCCAATGTCTGATTTTTGTTTATTCTTATGCGAGGAGAGTGATATCTAATTAACATGCTAATTTTCACAATGTGTTTTGGGTTCATTCAGCGATAAATTTGTGCAAATGGCAACATGCTTATAATAATTATGTATACAAGATTCTTAATTTCGTAATGTTCACCTGGGCAAGAAATCTCAGTGTTTCTTAAACCTGTTTGCTTCAAGTTGTATACTTAGTTGGGGCCCAGCCTTGACCTTCAGTGCTGCACCTTCTCTATATACCAATGGAGTAAACCAGAAACTAATGTCAGCAAAAAGGTTTCAAGTCATGTTTCTGTCCTCAAACACTGCTTGAGATCCTGAGCTAGAGTTTGCACTCAACCAGCCATGGACAGTAGAGATCTGCATTGGATTAGCTCCTGTGGTTTTAAGATTATATGTTTTCTGCATAGAGTATTAGAGTTGCATATTTGTACTCTTACTATTATGAGATAATACTGCAGGTGCATTGATCAGGAGGGCTGAAATGTATCAAGAGTACATGAAGCACATCCCAATTCCTGATCACTGCAGCTCCTTGATCCCATCCACATCATGGCTGGGACTCGGAAGATCGGTGAAGCAGTTGTACGAGCAGCCCTTGCATTACCTCACCAACATCCTCTTGAGACAGTGGGATCAACAGAGGGTTGGGAGCGATAATGAGCACCAGCCTCTGGATGCTATCATTCACCCTATGAAAGCTCAGGCCCTCATTTGGGCCACTGAAGAAGTCCATAGGCTGACCACCTCTAGTGACCACTTAGAGAAGCTCTGGGCCAAAGACCCCATGTATCATGCTAACATAGATCCAGTGTTCCCTTCCCTAAAGTTGCATTAGCAAACATCGCAAGTTGGACCGTCTTATCCTGTCTATTTTGTTTCTGCCTGCTGTAATCTGGCACATTTTGGTTGTTAGCGAAGTAATATGAACCATATGTCACTGATGTTAAAAGTATGATATGTGATGGTCAGGGTCTCTTTTAACGCTGCTTTTAGCTCTCTGAACAGCATCTATGTTGAAGAAGAAGAAACCTGGTGGTGTGGATTTCAGTGCTTTGAGCCGGCACGGGTATCGTGGCGGACCATCTATACTGACAGTTGCTCCTCCAAAGGTTGAACCTAACTGGACTTGGTCCACTGGGAAAGATCGCAACGAGAAGGAAGTTCTAACCGAGTCTTTTGAAGAGCGGGAACGCACAAGGGCTGCAGTAACTGAAGGAGAGAAGCTTATCGGTGTGATGAACCCCCAACCAAGGCAGACCGAGAAAGAGAAGGATGCTGCTTCATTCTCACAGAAGGAGAAGCGGAAGAGAGACCGCGGGCAGGCCAGCAGGGGGAAGAACTACGTTGAGGAGGAGAAGCGGCTCCTGAGGGGGAGTGGTGTCTACTCTGGCTTCGATACTTGACAGTGTCCAGAACATATGTTATTTGCCCGTGTTAGCTTCGGTCGTCACTGTTGGTGTGTCTGCTGTTTAGTTTTGTCGCGAAGTTCACTCCGGGCTATGCTTATTCTGTATCACCTATCTGTCTTTGGGCTGGTTTAAACTTTGACACGCCTGCTATTTTGCCAGAGCAGTGCTCCCTTTTCTGTGTGCTCCCGTATCCATCTTCGGCTATGATAGATCCTGCGAACCAGCTTTGCGGCAATGTATCATAGCCATTCTTACTGGTGAGAATCTGTGTGTTACGGTGAAGTGTTTTTTCTCTTTCTCTTTTCTGTCTCGGAAGGCTGACTAAATGGGTTTACCGACTAAACTGGTCAACTCAATGAACTCGTCCACAAAAGGCACAGCATTCTTATGTTCTTGCTAATGAAATTACAGGGAGAGATATCAAATGGTATTGGATCAGAATCATGCGTTCTTGATTTTCGCAGAGACATGCATCAAATGGTATTTGGATCAGAATAAGGGAGGCGATTTGTGACCCCATCTCTCATGCTTTTTCTTTGGACTTTCAAATTTAAATCTATTATATCTCTTGAACCAAAAGTGTAATTTATGTTTAGTTTGCATATTCGGGTTCCTTGTGACAAGGTCTTTGAAATAAGATCACTTCCAAATACGTTATAACAAGCTTTTAAAACTTCACAAAGTTTGACCTGTTAAAACTTGGTAGGAATGAACTAATTAATTCAATAACTTTCAGAAACTAAAACTTAAAACTGTACAGGGAATTGCAAGGAATCAAATGGAATCAAATGAGTTTGCGGATTGTGGGGCAATGCTCCCGGCGGGCGGTGCCGAGCAGGTGCGTGCCCCCGCACCTGTAAGCCCTTGGGAATTTCTTATCAGAATGAGGTGTCGTTGTGCCTCACATGGGAACAATCTGCGGAATCTATATGGAGCTTTGGTCGATCAATCTCTTCTACCTTCGCAAGATCTATTCTAATCTCCTGCTGCTATTTTCTAGGACTCAATTCTATTTGCTTGGTTTGCTCGAATATCTCAAGAAACGTTTCACTACGACAGCAAAAGATAAAGAAATATTTTTTGCAGGGATATATAAGTGTCATCCTGAGCTCTCACTTGAGAAGAGAAAAAAAATGCTCTTGTGGCTCCTAGCCACACGCTATTTGCGGGCATATATAAGTGGAGGGTGCATCCCAACACAAGTCAGTCTCATACACTTTTTGCCCAGTTATCATGCGTAGATTGCCTTTCCTGGGAAAAAAAAATCTCAGCATAAGAGAAGTGGACCGTGCTTCTGCTTACGGACCACTTCATTCGGTTCGTCTCAGCCTCCCTTTGCTATGGCAATTTCAGGCGGATTTATGGGCTGATCACGGATAATCTGTGAGGGATGGTGGCAAAGGCTCGTGTATCGATATCATCAACTAAAAACTTCAAGGTAAAAACACAAGCTGTAATTCTCCAGCTACCGAGCAGGATTTCCGTCATGATTGTAGAATAACTTTACCATCTACACGTAAGATGCATAGGCTTCGACAAAGCTCTACAGTGGATACATAACAACATGCGTACATAGAGTGTATAATAACTACTGTGAATTTGTACTTGTTTGTAAAGGGATAAAAATAGTAAACAAAATATGATTCATAAAACTTAGGTGAAGGATGTCTTGTAAGTGCACAGGGCTAGTTGTAGCTGCTTTCGAAGTAAGAATATTGATCCTACAAAGAGCTGAGAAAATGGTCACTTGCCTCTATAGAGATTGATCGCAAAGTGCCTGCAAGTTCTCTAAGGGCATCTCCAACGGCGTACTCCAAAGTGTCCCTAAATATATGGACCATGATGTTCGGACATTTTTTGTCATCCAACGCCGTGCACAAACGTCCGCGGACACGTCCGGGTGTCCGAATTCCTACAAACCGGCCACAAATTGGTAGGAGGTTTGCGGGAGTCCGGACATGCGCCATGTAGGCTTCCGACGCCCCAGCCCACCCAACCCCTTCTCCAAAACCACTCCCCCCCACTCCGTCCTCCCCCTTGCTCTGTATCCGCACCTTTCGAGTTCGACGTTGCCACTCTACCACTTCGGCCGCCGCCCAGGCCTTGCCGGACATCTGCCACCGTGAGGGCTTGCCGGATGTCCGCCTCGGACTACCCCACCATATGCGTTGGATCCGTCCGCAACCAGGTATACTCCCCCCTGCTGGCGTCGTCCATGGCGGACACCACGTCTGACAAGTATTCGGCCAAATGCTAATGAGATTGTCTTTGATGTTATCGATGTTTACTTTGAACCAAGCACAATGGGTGTACTCGATAATGAAGGATGGGTTGTTGTGCGATGCATGGTTGCGAGAAGTGCGGACTTTGTATGCCTAAAGCAAGAGGGCACAATATTTTGGCAAAATGTGCATTCTTGGTTTCATGAGCAAAAACACTTCGCGCCCGGCAACTTGCACGTGATCTATGAATGCAATGTGAAATCGCTAGCCCACCGACGATAGACCATCTCAAACTCTGTCATAAAGTATTGTAGTGCGACTACACGGGGAAAGAGGGTGGCCACCGGGATAACAAATCATGGAGATCGTAAGTTTTTCTTCTTGTTGCCCCACATATTGGTCAATTTATTGATTCACTCAATGTTCCAACTTGATGATCACGTGCTTGTATAGCCTGCACGCGCTGCCATATTGTATCAAATAACGGAGGGTGGACCATTCATGTTGATGCATTGTTGGATGAAGCTCAAGGGGTACAGTCTGTGTATGAACAGTACTTTGCTCTAGGATTATTTCGGACGTAATATTTATATTTGAACTATTGTTGTACTAGAATATTTGCATGCTATTTATTGATGGATTATGTTATTTATATAATTATTTTGAGTGCTCGCAACATACGAAAAAAATAGAGGTGAACATTTGGTGCATAGGATTGGATCTCCGGCTTCCGTATAGGGGTCCGCGGGCGCGTCCGCGAACGATTTAGTGTGTCCATTTGAGGTACACCATTGGTATGCCCTTAGATATCAAGCAGAAGTGATGCGATGGTTGAGAGGTTGAAAGTGTGTTTGAGAGCAATAACAAAAATAGAGGTGAACATATGAATACACAATAGGTTTTGGTATTACAACAAGATGGATGGGAGAGTCGACGACGATGGGATTGATAGTGATGGAGAGGATCAAGCTTGATGTCGTGTCCACCGTGATCGAAGCAGTGGTGAGAAGGACGCCCTTCCGCTGATTCTCCATCCGGATCCCTTCCGGATGTGAGGTTACCGGACTGTTTCGTACGATAGAGTCTATATGTTTGTCGTAACTGAGATTCGATTGCAGGGGTGGAAATAGTTAACCAGGAGAAGGCGATAACAAGTGGTACAACTGTTGGTACGAGTAGGTGCACACATACCACCCACCATCTTCTCTTCTGGAAGGCCAAATGCAACATGTTTTTTCTCACGTGTTTGTCTTTTTGTATGGAAGGTTTTATGAGGTCCAATAAATATATTTTTGACTAAAAATGGGTGTTTTCGAATGAACAATCCAAATCTACTGATTCTAGGAATCCTGGTGAAATCATATGAAAACAGGTGAGCGATCATGGTAAAATACAGAAAATCTTACATCTACGATGCAAAAAGACTAAGTAAAGCATGATGCAAGATGCATTTATTAGTGAACACAATAGTGTAAGTCATTAATTAGAGGAGTACCTAAACCTTTAATTTGGATTATATAAAGAAACTTATTCATGTGCTAGTATATTATGAGAGAATATTAGGCATGCTTCTAATATATGACGTATTCTTTTTGTGTGGAAAGGATTCAGATCTATTATAAAAGTTCACTTGAAGCACAAAACAACTCAAACATAATAAAAATTGCATCAAGGTCTTTGAACCACCAAACAACCACTGCCACCGCTAGTGTGCCGCTGTCACCACTCCCATACTGCAGTAGGCCTGACCTTGTCGATGACAACTGAAAAATCTTCGTGCACGTGCCTCTAAAGACCAACACCCCAGAACCATTGTTGTCTCCATTGAACCTTTGAATCGATCTGAAGAACCCGACACCAAATCTTATCGTCACGTGCACACGACGAGATGCCCTAACCTTGTCGCCTCGAGGAGCTGGCAGGAATCTACGTGGAAGCACTGTCTGGTCCGTCCCGACATACGAACTTGAGAGGGTCAGAGCTCGAAAGACTTACTAGAAGAAGAAGCGCCGCCATCTTTCCGAGTGCCGCCAACTAAAACCCTAACCTATCTACTAACTGGAACTGAGACACCGGAATTCCCGTCACCGCTACTAGCCACTGGAGTGGTGGGTAGAGGGGTGGCAAATCCACGGGCTCGCCTGCGTAGATCAAGGGAAGGAAAGCTTTGCCCAACTGGCCTTGCGACAGGAGAAATAAAAACAAAAAGGGGATACATTTTCAAGCGTAAGATGTCTAATATATAACATCTAACATGGAAGATATATAGGGGTACATGTGTGCAATATCTCATCCATAGCTTTACTCCCAATACATCTTAAAAAACTTGCAATAGTTAATCCTAGTACAACTTAAAAATGTTGCAAGTAACACAACCGTATAAACAATTCATGTCTAGTTACATTGTTGCACGGTATGCATGCTAGGTAGAGAAAGCACCATTAACATAGAATGGCTTGGCGAACCAACCTGTGGTTGGATGGTTAGGAGGACAGTGGTATCCCGGCCCACGAGAGTTCAAGTCCTAGACTTGACATTGTTGCTCGTATTTTTCTGGATTTATTTCAGGCCTTCCGGCAATGTGCGTTCAGTGAAATGAGATGTTTCTGTTGACTATGAAGGCATCTGTGGTTACTTCGTCAATCTTAAGATCATGTGCTGGCTGAGTCTTTCGGATGTGTTCATAGAGGTAGGGTAGATGTGCGTGCATTCATAGGGATGAGTGTATGCCTGTGTATGTGAACAACTTTGATTGTACCGTTAAAAATATAGAATGGCGTGCTTTAGAGAAAAAACAACCGAGATGTGTACTCGGTGTTACTAAGTGCCAGTTCTTTTGTTGGCTTATAGAAAAAGCTGGAATAAGCTGCCCCTACCTAGCTTATTCTAGATGCCCAACTAAGTTTATTTTTTTAGAAGCCATCTAATTAAGGCTTGACTAGTAGGCTCTAAAAATATTTTTGGTTGGCCTTATAGAATAAGGTGGGTAGGGGCAGCTTATTCTAGAAGCCAAAAAAGCCACAAAAAACCTGGCCATAATATGAAAACAGAGCGACACCTCCTTGGTGCAAGGTCAGAAACAATTTGAGTATGTATTCCATACAATTTATGTGTATAATTTACAAAGTCTGTATTTGATAGACTCGTCAACACAGATCCAGCTTTTACTATCTAGTTAGGGCATCTTCAACGAGGACCTCTAAAATAGATACACCATTTGTCCACAGACTCATCCGGACCAGTTTGCAGGTACGGATATGGAAGCCAGTCATCCAACCGCATACCTTGAACGTCTTCCCAGGTCTGGTCATTCTTCATTTCAAATGCATAGCAATATAAGAAAAATAAAGTGTGGTCTGTATACCGTCTGTTCGCAATCAAAAAGAGGCGGATGTTCATAGTTATTACATGCACCTCATCACATAAAATCCAGTCTGGTAGTCCATGCAAAAAATATGCATTTTTGCCCTTCCAGACCGGTTGTCCGAGCCTCCTCTCTCACTATGCCACCGCCTCCTCCTCACCATCCTCTTACTTCTCGGCTGCCAAGCGCTTCAATATCCTAACACGGACAACGCGCACGATCATTGCCGCATCAGGATCCTACTGGTCCACCCTTATGGTCAACATCTTGGTATCCTTCTAAGAGGCTGCGAGCTCACCTTCTTCTCTTCGAGCTTGATATTCTTCTCGGTCGCCGCCATCAAGATGTTAAACCTCCCTGCCTTTTTTTTCTCCTTCACGTCATAGTGCTTGCCACATGCCTCCTCCTTCTTCGCCCGGAAGTCCTCGAATCTCTCCGCCATCTTGACCGCTGCCCCTTCTCGCTTAAACTTTTTTATCCTCCCACTTGTTTCTCCAGATCCCTCTTCTAGCCTTTTTGCACGGCTCTTTTGTTGGGTCAATTGGATCACCCGCTTCTTCCTCATTGCCAATGTCAACAGTCTTGATAGAATTGGCAATGCAATTTTGCCACATGGGTTGCATATTCAAATTCAACCAATAATGCATGAGGACGAAAATCTTGTTTTTCACCTTCAAAGGCAAGTTGCATGCATGGGAAGACTAATAAACAGACATTGTCATGAAGGTGCATATGGCCAATGACCAACACATAGAGCATATCCGGCCAACAAGTTGCATATCCGGTCAAATGACATAGAGCATATCCTGCCCCTCATTGACCTGTATAGGGGGAGGTAGGGGCCTCCCAAGTCGACATCCAATTTATGTCAAAATCTCTCATACGAAATATCAATCAATATAATTTGACATGCATGACGTAGGGTATTTACCTCCACCATGAGGTCATGAACCTTGGTAAATCATTCGTCCTGTGTGCTCCCAATATAATATTCATGTGTATTGCGCCCCACGAGAAATCCTATAAATGGATATGCCAGTATTATGAACCAGCAATTACTTTGCACCCAATGTAGTATGTTCCCTTCACTATTTTTGGCGATGATTCCGGATGCATTAGGATCTCTTCAACACTATTGCAAGAGTTGTGGTGGAACACGATCATTGGTTTCAATTGAGAAGGAAACGTTAAATTTGATATGTATCTCAACTATGTGTACTTGAATTTTTAAGTTTTGAATTAATATGTTGCAAACATAAATGTTCAAATGAAGTTTGTATGAAAAACGTTTGGCTGAATGGGAAAAAACAAAAAAACTAATGATTAAATTTTAGGCGTTGGGCTCTATGTACGAAAGTTTAATTCCTACAAAATGAGCAATTAAAGGATGGGGAATAAAACGGTAAATTATGTTACTGTGGATGGGCTAGAGATGCTCTAAGCCTCAAATGCTTATATAACAGATGCAAACCGCTTCCCATCAGGCGAGACACAATACTTGTTCAGGGCTAAGTGGGTCGTGCTAGGCTCGATGTTCTTATTTTGAAAAACTGTTTTTGACGTTTCTGCTATCTACAAGTCTACTATTTGATTTCACACATATACCATAATTCAGAAATCAGGGTTGCAAGTGATCGCTCCCCCCAAAAGAAAATGTCCCATATATTAACTTCTGTCATCAAGGAGGATTTGATCTCAAAGTCATACTATTTCTGCCTGCCTGATAGAGGTAAGCAATGTTTCTCTTCATGTGAAGAAAGCACCTTGAGAAACAACCAGATTCCACGTGGTTTCCATTTTCCAGTAACTTCATCCCAGTCGTGAGTATGGCGTGGTTGATTGACTGCCATAATGCATTCATCGCCTATTAGTAAAAAAGTCCTTCCTCTCCATGGAGCCTTCAGCTTGATCATCAATGTAATACCACCTTCCCAGTAGAGTCATTCCTAGAGTGCATCAACAGAGTCCATAACTCGCATCAGATAACCGCATCGGTTGATGTGGATGCAGCGGTCTTACTTTTCCAGTCGAAAATACTAATGAGAACATCCTGATGCCATGATCCACATAGCCCTGGATGCAAATAAAAGACCTCGACTTGGTCAACAGGAAGAAGCTTTTTCTCCCCTACCGTGGCGATAGGGACATCTCATGCCTCCACATCGTGGCCCCGCATTACATTGCGCGCGACGTGAACAACGAAGGATAACCTAGGATTCAAGAGCTGGATAGAGGCGACATTGGAGTTGGTGGTTGGGAGGGCGGAGGTAGCAGATGCGGAATCGAGGAAGGTGGAGGTCGATACCTATTTGTTTGGTTTACTCAAATATCTCATCAAATGTCGTACAGACAAAAAAACATTTTCATTCATCCTAAGTTATCTTTTGATAAGGAGAAACATGCTATCACGGCTCCTAGCCACACACTATTTATAGACATATACAAGTGAAGGTGCATCCCAACACAAAATCGTCTCATACACTTCTTGCCCAGTTCTCATGCGTACATTGCCGTTCTAGAGAAGGAATATAATCTTCACAAGCGAGAAGCACAATTTGTTTCTGCTTGTGGTCTGTTTCATCCGATTCTTGTGGGTCTGCCGAAGCTATGGGAACACTGGTTTCAGGTGGATTTCTCAAGTGAGATGAGCGGACCATGGACAACCCATGAGGAATGGTCACAAAGGCCAGTGTGGCAGAGTGACTAAAAACTCGAAAGATCAGCACACTTGTAGTTAGAGCTTCTCAAGATTCAATTTATTTCTCGCAAAAAGTATTTAATTTTGTAATGGTATCCCGGGCAAGAAACCTCAGTATTTCTTAAACCTGTTCGCTTTAAGTTGTATACTGAGTTTAGTGCTAGCCTCGACCCTCAGTGCTGCACCTTCTCTATATATCAATGGAATAAACCAGGAACTCGTGTCAGCAAAAAGATTCCTGAGCTAGTGTTTGCACATACCAGCCATGGACAATAGAGGTCTACGTTGGAACAACTTATGTACATGATTATTATTTTTCTGCATAGAGTTGCATATTTGTACTCTTACTATATGCATGTGCGCATTATTTAGGAGGGATGAAATGTATCAAGAGTACATGAAGCACATCCCAATTCCAGATCACTACGGTTCCTGATCGCATCCACATCATGGCTGGGACTTGGAAGATCGGTGAAGTAGTTGTATCAACAGCCCTTGCATTACCTCACCAACATATCCTTCAGACAGTGGGCTCAACAGAGGGTCCGAGGCTCAAGCCCTCATTTGGGCCACCGAAGAAGTCCATAGGTTGACCACTTAGGGAGGGCTATAGGCTAAAGAACCCATTTATCATGATTACATAGATCCAGTGTTCCCTTCCCTAAAGTTGCATTAGCAAACATCGCAAGTTGGACTGTCTTATCCTGTCCACTCCCTTCGTTCCGAATTACTTGTTTTAGCTTTGTCTAGATATGAACGGATGTAGACACCTTTTAGTGTTTGATACATTTGTATCTAGACAAATATAAGATAAGTAGTTTGGAACGGAGGGAATATTTTGTTTCTGACTGCTGTAATATGGCACATTTTGGTTGTTAGAAGTAATATGAACCATATATCACTAATGTTAAAAGGACGATATGTCATGATCAGGTGGTCAGGGTCTCTTTTAACGCTGCTTTTAGCTCTCTCAACTGCAGCTATGTTGAAGAAGAAGAAACCTGGTGGTGTGGATTTCAGTGCTTTGAGCTGGTACGGGTGTCGTGGCGGACCATCTATATTGACAGTTGCTCCTCCAAAGGTTGAACCTAACTGGACTTGGTCCACTGGGAAAGATTATTGGTGCAGCGCTCTCTCTCTCTCAAGACTAGAGGTAGAAGGAGGAGCACAATACACTGGAGTTTCACCCGGTTGCACACACAACCTCGTTACTGTTTGAACCTTGCTATACCTACGATAGAGTGCCTGTCCAACACTGTACGATCAGAGACAATTGTAAATAATTCAGTTTGTGGGCCATAGCATTTAAAGGTGATTTGCTCTCTGGTCGTACCGGTCGGATGAGAGAACGGTCGTACGCAGAGCAGTTTCGTTAGGGCATGTACAATGGTTGATAAAACAGTCTTATCTTAAGTCTTGCATGTAATTTAGAGATGACAAAAAAGTATGTTTACAATGGGTTATATCTTAACCTTATCTTTAATAGCTAGTCATTCCTTAAAACATGGTGAGACAAATTGTGCTAAGAGATCATCTCTTGTCTTATCTTAAATAAGAGAAGACAAACCTTTTCTTGTGAGTTCTCTCTCCTCCACCTCATCATTAATCCTACGTGGCACTCCTAAGCTAGCACCATTGTACATGCCTTTACTGTTCCCCGAGCACCAAACTCTCGTACAAACACACACTGCGGCTTTGTAGTCCACAGCAGCACAGCGCCCACGTTTCCGTTGCGCACATACACATGAATGCATAGCTAACTCCGCTGCATGCAAGCATTCCGCCCCGGCCATGCAGACGAACGTGCGTTGCGCGCACGACGTGGCCATCTAGCTAACCCACGCCGCTGACCACCACGCCACGCACATCACGAGCACACACACGCACGCACACCTACGAACCTGACGCGGCCACACACCAGCCATACACACATATACGCCACGCCGCCGCTGTGTCCCGCACGCTCGGCGCCCATTGACGCGCCCGACGAGTCCGATTGCACCAGTGCGTCCTGCGCGAATCCGTCACGTCCGACGAGCCCGACCATACACATTGTGGCTTATTCCAACACACACCCCCTAAGCCACGGCCTAGAGAAGTCCGTCGTCGTTGATGTTGGCGCCGGCCAAGAGAGCCTGCTCCGCCGCCGGTCCTTTCCGCAGCTGCGGGCACTCGCGCCAGAAGTGTCCGTGCTCCCCGCACTTGTAGCAGCGCCGTCTGTTGCCGCAGCTCCCCGACGCCATGCTGCGCCCGTCGTCGTCGTCCCGTGCTCCGCCATGCTGCCGCTCCCGCGCCCGCCACTGCGCCGCCGTGAACAGGAGTTGTCCGTCCGCCCGCTCGCCGTTGTCCTGCCGTCGATGCCGAACTCGCTCGTCGAACGCGCGCAGCCGCCCGAGCGCTTCGTCGAACGCCATCATCGTCATGTCGTGGAACTGCTCGATGCCGGCGACAACGGGGAAGAGCTGATCCGGCACCATATCCAACAGCTTCTTGACGAGTGCCGTGTCGCCCAGCGTCTCCCCAAGGTTGGCATACCTCGCCGCCATCACCGCGAGCCTCCGGCCGTACACGTCGAGCTCCTCGCCGTCCGCCATCTTCAGGCGGTCAAATTCGCCGCGCAGCGTCGCCAGCCTCGCCGCGTGGACCCGATCGGCACCGACGAACCTCACCTTCAGGGAGTCCCATACCTCCCTGGCGGTGAGCTTCGTCGACACTTGCAGCGGCACATCCTCCGGCAACACCCCGAGAAGCAACACGCGCGCCATCTTGTCCTTCCGCGCGTTCACCGCCGCGTCGCCCGGCGCCACCGCCTCCCACACGGTGTGGACGTCGAGGATCGCCTGCGCCTTGATGGCCCAGACCGTGTAGTTGTCCGCGGTCAGCATCGCCATCGCCATCGTCGCCGATCCACCCGCGCCGCTGCCGTGTGGGACGAGCGCCATGGTCTCCGGTGATCTGCCGAACCGAAGCTCCGTATACCAGTTGTTCGTGCAGCTCTCTCTTGTGAAAGATCGCAACGAGAAGGAAGTTCTAACTGGGTCTTTTGAAGAGCGGGAACGCACAAGGGCTGCAGTAACTGAAGGCGAGAAGCTTATCGGTGTGATGAAGAGCCCCCCACCAAGGTCTTTTGAAGAGCGGGAACACACACTCGCTACGTACATAGTCTATGCTACAACGACCGGAGTACCAACCACTGTTCAAGGTAGTGTGCACGCGATTGGAGCAGGTGGCTACGGAGATTTTTTTGTGACATGGATGGCAGCATAACCTACGGATTGGTCCACCACCTTCTTCGACATAGGCATAGTGTCGGTCTATAGGACTCTACTGTTGCCGATTTGTCGGTTTGTATTTCGTAATTTTTTTTGTCAGACTTTTGGTTTTGGTTATGTGCATCTTAATTATGCAGAGGCCGGGTGTTACTCATAATGATTTGTATCCACTTGATGCTACATTTTGAGATAATAAAATCGCTCTTTATCAAAAAAAGGTGAATGATGTCTTGTAAGTGTGCAGGGCTTGTTGTAGCTGCTTTCGAAGTAAGAATATTGATCCTACAAAGAGCTGAGAAAATGGTCACTTGCCTCTATAGAGATTGATCGCAAAGTGCCTGCAAGTTCTCTAAGGGCATCTCCAACGGCATACTCCAAAGCGTCCCTAAACATCTGGACCACGATGTCCGGACATTTTCTGTCACCCAACGCCGTGCACAAACGTCCGCGGACACGTCCGGGTGTCCGAATTCCCACAAACCGGCCACAAATTAGTGGGAGGTTTGTGAGAGTCCGGACATGCACCATGTAGGCTTCCGACATCCCCAACCCACCCAAACCCTTCTCCAAAACCACTTCCCCCACTCCGTCGCCCCCTTGCTCTATATCCACACCTTTCAAGTTTGACGTTGCCGCTCTACCACTTCAGTCACCGCCTAGGCGTCGGACATCTGCCACCCTGAGGACTTGCTGGATGTCCGCCTTGGACTACGCCACCATCCGCGTTGGATCTGTCCGCAACTAGGTATACTCCTGCCGACGTGGTCCATGGCGGACACCACGCCCGACAAATGTTCGGCCAAATGCTAATGAGATTTTCTTTGATGTTATCGATGTTTACTTTGAGTCAAGCAGAATGGGCATACTCGATAATGGAGGATGAGTTGTTGTGCGATCCTGGTTGGCCAGAAATGCGGACTTTGTAGGCCTGAAGCAAGAGGGC